GGAAGCACCCATATGTCAACCCTAATTGGGGACTCGGGGTTCAAACCCCAGCATTTCAGGTGTATATGTGATACCTACACCGCTGGCAGTGAGGGGGACAGACTGCACGCCAAGGCCACGTGAATTGGACTGTCAAAGCACCATGCTGGAAGCACAAGCAGCTGTTGGAAGGGCAATGAAATCACAGTCCAGTGTGCAGGTGTGCTTAGATGTATGCTCCAACTGTGCCACAATGTATTTTTCCATCTGTTTTCTGCTGTTCTGAGAACGTACTCCATTGCTAAATGAAGTAATGCAACCTTGGAGAGGAAGAGTCCTTTGGGTTAAAGCTTGAGAATAAAAGAATTCATCTGGTTTGAAAATCCTGTCCTTCTGGGGGTCTGCTTTTGTCATTTACTTAGTTTAGAAGACGAATATGGCAAAATATATTATTTATTGAAGTTGATATAGGCACTAGGCTGTAGCTTCCTCTTCTCAGACACTCGTACATTAAAATTAATATAAAAGAAGCTTCTAGGAATTTAAACAGAATTTGCCTATATGGCAGTAGGAGTAGGAGTCTTTCCTTATTTTTTTAAATTATTTAGCAGCAATACAAATATTTTAAACCTCAAAACTGTGGATAGTCTCTTTTTTTTGCTTGCTTACTTGTTTGCATTTTAAACACAGTTGTAATTTCAAGTGCTATTGGTATCTCCTTAGAGAAACCTGAATGTCTTTCCTTGCAGTGTCTATAAAGTGTATAATGGCTTTGAGTTTATTTTGCCAATACTGGTTGTAGTTGCTAATCTCTACTGCCAAACAGGCTAAAAAGTAGGCACTATAGTTAGTATCTAGACAGGATGAGTTTTGGCATTTCTGTGTAGGCACCACATTTCTAAGTCTGGATTAAACAAAAATTGAGTATAGGTGGTATAACTTGCATTGGAAAGTAGACAGATGTTTGCTGGTATCTTACGTGGAAGTCTGGGCTTCTGCCATGAAATCTCAAGTTCATGAGATTTCATATATTTGCCTCCATGAGGCACAAACGTGAACGTTTTTTTATGTTCATATATTTACTTCTACATTGAAGGAAATTTAGAACTGTATTACAGTCTCTTTGTGACTATTTCTACTACAAACAAAAGACTTATTTGGTAACCTGATTTTCTTTTGAACTTCTCCAACCTTCTAATAGGTGTCAGACTGTCCAGTGGAATCCATCCGGACTGTCTGCTCATCTACACCGATAACTTGATTTTATTCCATGCCTCCATAGTGTGAGACACCATGTTCTACTGGAGAGCACCATAATGTGTATTGTATAACAAGGCTCAGTTTGTGAGTGTCCCTAAAATTATATAGCCTGTTCCATAGCCGTGTGTCATTACTTAGGAGCTGGTCCTGTATTCTATGAATATACATATAAATACTGACATTTGTAGCTTAAATTTCTAGCCGTTATTTTTAAGGAGTGTCCCAAATTAAATTTTTTGGCATTTAAAATCAAGCAACAGTCATTGTTATCAACAGCAAGACAAGGAGATAAGAACATTGTAGGTTTTAGCTCTTAGGCCCTTTTCAGTGCTTTGGAGTGCCACAGGTTTGGGGTGGGTCACACTGGATTCTGTAATCAAACTGTGTTTAAACAGTAGCATGAATTGGTACTGACCAATTTAGGACAAGAGCTTCGTAGACTCATGGTGATTTTCAGGCCTTAGTTGCCTCTCTAAGACCCAGCAGAGCTTCTCTGCTGATTATCAAATGCCTGCAGACCATCCAGGTGATATAGTGATGGGCAGGGTTCTTTGGCCTGCTTTCTGAATTAATACAGTAAAATACAGTACTGCACTGCAAGCTGACCTCAGACCTGGAGTCTGGTAAAGAGCCAGTAGCAACCTACACAAAAGGCAGCCTGGGATTCACCTCATCCTCCTCATTGCTGTTGCAGTTGCTTGTCAGAAGGGAAAGGTGTCAGCAGTGCAGACCAAAGATACCTTTAGGTGAAGCATGTTGAGCATCCCAAGGAGGGTGCAATGAATCTAATTTGGAAAGATTCAAAGGTTTTCATAAATTAAAGATGCAGGACAGATGAGTGGGGATGAAACAGTGTAGGAAAGGATGGAGAAGGTTTTGGTTGGAGACTGGGAATAGATTGTGCATATCCTATGAGTGTCAGCAGAATCTTTATATCACTTTGCACCATCACTGTGGTAGCTTAGAGGTTTTGTAATTTTAGAGAAACACTAAGTGTTACTGGTTTCAGCTAAATATTTTTTTGAAACTCCAGGAATATTCTCAGTACGGGTTTAACTCAGTGTAAGCCAAGTTACTTCATGCAGCAGAGGAAACGTATTGCAGTGGAGATGTCCATCCCTTCTGCTGCAGCTCGTCACACATCCCATGCACAGAAATGAATGCAGATACTGTGTCTTTGACAGGTGTGAATGTATGTGGTGTTATTTCTGTCTTTACAGAGTACTGGGGGGCAGGATGGAGGACAACAGAGGAAATGAGAAGGGTGAAGTTCTAAGATATTAACTGGCAGTAATATTAGAGTTCCTTTAAAAGCCTTGTGGTTACCAAGACCTGGTTTACATTACTGCATGCATGTCTTAAGGATTTGTAATGTCTGTCATTATAGCACAGGTATCACCTGTGAAATTCTTCTCTTTTTATACAGCAACCCCACGTAGCATTCAGTTGGTATGAATTCAGCTGGTATCTTCATCGTGATGAAGATAGCCTGAATTCCACTTCAGTTTCAAGTGTCTAGTCAGTGATGAGAGCTAAGTGCCTCTGAAGATTTTGAGGAATGATTCACATGGCCTAAGACATGGGGTAGGGAGTTGCCTAAAACCAATCTGTAAGAGACACCTGACATGTCAATTTTGTGGATTTAGAACATGTGAATATAATGCTGAAGGATTTCAAGCCAGTGAACACTTTCAAACATATATAATTAATGTCTTTTTTTACTAACAAGTCTAAATACGTCTAGCTAATGCACATTTTGAAACTCAGTACAGCATTTAACTGACTGAACTAGTGTTGCAATTTTTTATGCCCTTCATTGACTCTTTATTTCACAGGAGTTGAATAGCACAGTGGAGAAAAAGTTTGAAGCTAATCTTAATAAGAAGGTGGTTTTGGTTTGTCATCTTCCTTCTCTGACAGAATACAGAAGCAGCTATAAATCTGATGTACCCTACGTGTATGAAAGCCATGAGTAACAGAAGCCTTGCTTTTCAGCTCCTGCGTGGGACGTTCCCAGGAGCAGCACAGGGCAGGAAGGTTTAGCTGAAACTGTTGTTATTGCACAGCTCTTTAGAAATTCCTGCTCCACAAATTCTTTGTCAGGATGAAATAAAGTATCAAGCAGAAGAGCCTGTCTTCCGTCAGAACTAGTCAATGTCTTTGCTAATGCCTTAGAATGAAATAATAATACACGGTTTACATTTTTGGACAATCAGAAGGTGGAATTTTGAAGGCCCTTTTGAAAGTACAGTTGTGATTGAGAACGATCTGGATGGACTAGAGCAGTGGCCTGAAGTAAATAGTTTAGTAATGACAGGGAAACTGTGACACTTCATGGAAGTTCTGCAGAATAAGAGAGGTGGGAATAGTCATAAGTTTAAACGTGAATTGGCAATATCATAGTGCACCAACAGTCTCATGTGGTGATACACAAACAAGAATGGTGTAGCTTCTTTAGATCAATGAGATCCTTCCAATCTGTTCTTTACTACAGCCTTAAGAGGAATTTATATCTAGTTTTCAGCAGTGGACATTAAGAAAGAGGGACATTTCCTTTGTCAGCCAAGCAACAGAGGTTTAGAAAATGTGACCCAAAATGGATTGAGAAACTTTCTTTTTCAGAGGGGAGGAAACTGCAACAGATTAAATTTAGAGATAGAGG